AATGATCTATTGGTTAAGATGGGTGTTTTGTTTTAGGAATTGTATGTATTGTGCTGAATTTCCATTTTGACAAGATGAATGAATGTGTTCTATTCGTTGTTTACACCATTTTAACTTTTTTGAGGAAAAGTATGTTGAACAATGATTGAGTTTTGGAAGAATAACAGTTCCGAATCATAGTTTTGATTCAGGCCTGAAACCTGGGATCTGGATTCATGGAATTTAGCACTTGAGATCCGTCGTCAATGGATCCATGATTAATTAATGAACAGTAGATGGTATTTAGTTATAATTTTGAACTGGCAAATAAAAACTTAAATTTAAATAACCAAATAACTAATGCTGTTTGTAACTTTGTTTAATATAACTAATCACTACAACTACATTGCTACTGTTTCAGCATTAATATTGGTTGAGTTTGTCAGTGAAATGGAGTTTTAGGCAGTGGCAATTTCGAAAAGACGCAGTTGATTATAATTTTCAAGAAATATCATCGCATTTTCAACTTTTATCAATTTCACGTTCAGTTTTTCAATATTCCGTACCATATTTAAAATATGGCTTCTTGAAAATTGAATTCAAAACAAATCAACGCTTGAAAATACAGAGATATTTCTTAATAAATCTTGAATCTTGACAATTTCAACCCTATTTTTATAAATTGATTATAAGTACACATTGGATCTGGATTTGCCAGGATCGAATATCTAGATCCGGTTTCGATCCAGGCACCGCAGGATCTTAAATTTCTGGAGAAAGACTGTTATGGATTTTGAGATCGATATAAACATCAAATGATTAAAACACTGATTAAGATTTAAGATTTGGTAGAAGAAGATTAGTGACATGTAAATAAACGGGAGAGCATTTAACATAAGTGCAGATTAAGATAAGGACAACCAGCCCATAAGTTGGGTGGGGTTTGTGTTCTGCTCATTAGATTTTGTATTTCCAGTTTATATATAATAAAAAAATCTATATGCACAAATTGTAACTTCAAAGTATTTATTGTTTGTTAAAGTATAACCTGTTTCATCTGCAGGTAAAGTGCAATGCAGGCTTAAAAGTGGGCAAATGTTTGACGAACACCAACAAAATGAGTGAAGCGGTGGGAGTGTTTGATAGGGCAGTCGGTCTGGACCCTAGCAATCCTGATGTCTACCTTCACAGGGGGCAGGTTCGGGGCTCTTCTTCATTTTATACTTTGTTATTTCTTGTTAATTTGAAGAAAACATTAATGCACAAACCATTCACATTGTGTGAAGTAAACGATTTTTGGCGTCATTTGAACTTGTCTGCTGCAAATTGAACTTATACAAGGCAGATGTATAATGTTGAAAAGATGAATTGAGATAGATCTGAATAGGTGTAATGTAAACTGTCTAGTGATTCTTTATCAGCTAGTTTCTTTACGTCTAAATTTGTAACATTTATTTGATTTCTTGAGTTCATGTTTCTTTTTGAAATCACTTTTCATTGCACAGATTAAAAACCTCCATTTAATTTTTTTAAATTATTTTTCAAACTGCCTTGCTTGATCGTGCATGCATATCTGTTCAAAACTATCCAATGCTTAAATCCGTATTTTATTATTAAATATTGGCTTCTAAAATTTTTCAACTGACTGCTCAGATTGTTAAAAAGTAAAACGTTCTGTTACTTTGATCTTTATTTATTTAAATTTGAAATTTATTCATCTAAAAATTTTCTTAAATGTGCACTGCAATTTTAACATTTTAAAATGCAGCATGTCCTGTATCTTCGTAGAGTATTTAATTATAATTATTTATTGGAGTAAATTTATTTTTAAAACGTTTAAGAAATATAATACTATATTTTTTTTTTACTTCAAGTTCAATTATATTTAACAAAAATTAATTTTAATGGTCTATTTTTCTTCTGCTTCTTATTGGAGTATTAGTTCTTAATGTAGTACCCTGTAATATATATGTTGGTTGAAAATCATTGCAAGGTCCATCTGGTCATGGAGAACTTGGACATGGCTATAATGGACTTCCAAAAAAGTTTGTCAATCAACGATTCCACTGCTATCGCTCACATACACAAAAACTTCTCCGGTAGTTTCATGCTTTTTGCATCTCATCATTTTTAGTAATTTTGAGAACATTTACGTTTTTCAAATTATGATTTTTAGTTTTTTTTTTCACTCTAAACGAAATTTATTCAAAAATTTATTAATATTTTTTTTTTTCATCTTAGTAAAAGTTTTTATTGGCTCAATAATTTTTCATTGAAATTAATAATGGTCAAGCAAGCATAAATTCTTTTTCAGAAACGATCAAGTTGATGTAGCATTTAAATTTACTCATATATTTTGCTATCAGAGTTGAGAAAAGCACTGTCTCAGCAAGACTTTGATAAAGCAGAAAAGATCACACTATCATTCCAAGATATTTTAAACAGATTCCCATCCTGTGCTGACGGTTATGCATTCTATGGACAGGTTTGTATGTGCAAATATTTGCTTGCTAACAATAAAATCTTTAAACAATTATTAATTATTTTATAAAGCGTTTCTGGCATGAGATCAATTTTGAACATCATCAGATTGATTATTGTTTAGTAAAAGCCTATAAAAAACGATTTGTTATGAGTTTGTCTTTGTGAAGTATCCAAGTCATTTATTAATTGAACAGTGACTGGTTAGCTGGTTCCTCATGCAGACACATTCATACCCGATCAAAATTATTGGCTGCCGCTTTCATTCATTTCCTGTTCCATATTGTGACATGGAATTGTAATAATTTACAATTTCTTTCAATGCTCACTCGACCACCCTTTTTTTATCACTATTGAATCTTTATTTTTTAATGTATAGAGATGCTGTGTATATTTTTTATATGAACACTACAATTCAAATTTTTCACTCGCTTGTTCAATGTAACTTCGTGAAGTAATTTTTTCATAAAGGCTCTTCTTGATATGAAAAAGTTTGAAGAAGCCGATGATTGTTTCAAGAAAGCTATCCAATTAGAACCTAATAATCCAAACTCATACGTTCACAGGGGGTTATTATTATTTTCAATCTTTTTATTTCTCACATTCATTTTGTTATCCATCCTATATATAGCAATTAAATTATATTCTTTAGTCAATTTTAATTATATTGAATATAATGTCTGCAAGTATGAGTTTCGTAAAATTGCGTTTCAGACTGGAAATTTGAGGGATGAGCAACATGAAGGGTTGGAATTTGTAACACTGGAGGCATTGAATAGAATGAAAAGGAGGTAGATGGTTTTTCAGAAATGGTTGCTGGTTACAGAAAAATTGTGGATGGCCTGTGACGTAGATGTGAAGTACTCCGTCGAAATATTTTATAGAATTGTTTAAAACATCAACAAGGGAGCAAGAGTTGAGTTAATTTTTTCCTGTTTGCAAGAGACGGAGATTCTTTTGAAAGTGTCTAATATAGGGGTCCAGAAGGGTTGGTGGGAAGAAAGAAGCGAAAACATGTGAAGATAGATGTTATGTGGTTTAGTTTTATGTCAGGTGGAGGAACAAAGAAGGAATGTGGAAAGATGTATTTTTAGATAAGAGTGGACTGATGGCCGATTGACTCAATTATGCACATGTTTATATGCATGAGGGCACAAAAGCCACGGTCAGAACAGAAAATGGAAAAGTGTAGATTTGTACCGGGAGTCAGCACTTAGTCATTATTATTTATAGTTGTGATTGTTCTGGTCTCTCCATCTCGAGGAATAAATAAAACATGCACGTGTATGCATGATATATTTGTATATTATGCTATTTTGATCTTACTAGATTGTATCACCTTATTAAATTTAAGCCATAAATTGACTGGTACTTGAGAGATAAAACCCGCAATCATCTTTAAAAGTTTCAGATATATTAATTTTACACAGTACATTGTTTATTCAATCATTTTTAACATAATCCACAGGATTTTAAGATTAAGTTGGAAAGAAGACTTTGAAGGTGGTTATAAATTTATTAAGAAAGGGATCGAGATCGATGGTCACAGCAGCTTCGCCTACCAAGCTCTTGGCACTCTAGAATTTCAAAAGTAAATTTTATCTTCATGACTGGAAATTTTTTGGAGTAAAACTCTATCTTTTGTGGTTTCTTTTAAAGTTTTGTTTAAAAAATGGAGATAAAAAATGGAGTTTTATAAAATCTTCAGTTATGGATCAATGTAAAGATTCATTGATATTAGGCAATATATGTATGCAAGCATGTTCTATAAAATGCCAAATTTCTGGTGGTATAAAATTGTCATTTAAGACTAACCGTTGAGGTAATGATTATCATAATAATAAATTAGTTATGGAATATGATAAACTTATGGCTACTATAAAGTATTTTCATAAGTGGAGTTTCATTTTAATTGCCCCTTATTTTGTGGCACAAGAATAACGAATAAGAGCAATTGAATGGTTTTGAAACGAATTATTTTTTATTGTAAACTTCGTCTATCTTTGTGTGTATGTATGTAATGTATTTGATGCTCTGAAATTATGATCAGGAAAAAATAAATTGTTGGGCGTTCATATAAAATGAAAATATTGTACAAAATGTTCATCTAGGGGTTTGATTGATTCTGCCATAGACTTACTGGAGAAAGCAGTTGATTATTCAACGAGTGAAACAGAAATGATCCATTTGTACTCCATTCTACTGGCTGCACAGGTTCAACACAAAGTGGCTGCCCGACTCGGTGTATCCATGCCTTCCCTCATATGACAAACCAACAAACTGTTGTTTAAATTATGATAATTTATTTTTTAATAATTTTTTAGATAGTGGGAAAGACAAAGTTAATCGATATCATAAATTTTTTCATTGAAAAATAGTTGAATAGGCATCTTTTTTGTTGTTGACGATGTAATATAACACAAGCATGTATAATATAGAGAATATACATATGTAAATAGGAAATCAACAATATATAACATTGAGCAATTTTGGTGTTCTGGACTATGCAGAACTGTAATTGTTGAAAATGCATAGATTAACAAGCGTTCAAATTTTAACTACATAAGTTTTACAAAATAATAAACTACTGTTTTTTTTTACGACTAATTAATACAGCGTAGTTATAAAATATAAATTCTGAAACCATTTTAACATTTGTTATAATGTAAGAAATCACAAAAAAATACGTTATTATAAGAAAAATCGGTGCTACAGAACCAATTTTCAAATCCTAGGGATTGAATAAAATGTACTTGGTCAAAGATCCTAAAATTATTATGCATGTTATATGTAACGATAATAAGGAATTTCTTATATATGTTTTATTTTATTTATTTCTTTTGTCGGTTCTCTCCAGCCAAAGAGACCAAAATGACTTGTCGCCATCCGTCTCTGTCTTTCGCAATCTCTTCTAGTGTTACTCTAGTTCTTCCAGTAGTTTTCCCATGTATGATAACCCAGCTCTTACTAAATCTCGACTAAGACACTTGTTACATCTCGTTTTAAATCTGCCGTTTAATCTTTTCTCCTCTAGTTGATACTTCCAGATTTTTTTTTGTGTGTTTTGAACTCCATCACCATCATATGTCCTGCCCACTTCAATATCCTCTTCTTTACAATCAATCAATCTATCTTCGTTTAACATCCAGAGACCCAGTTCCCGCGAGGTAGGACGTTGTTATCTTTGCCATCAATTTTTTGCGCCAAATTAGACGATCAATTGTATCCATTTCATTTAAATTTAGAGTTGTCATGTCTTGCTCGATTGTTTGCGACCAGAACTTCTTTGGACGGCCTTAGGGACGTGTGCCAGGTACTTCAACATCTGCAAGAAAAGTTATGGCACTGTTTCCACATTGTTTGACATGACCAAACCACCGCAGACGGTGTTGCCGGCATTCGTCCTTTATATCATCTAAACCAGCACGACGCAGGATTTCGGTAGATTTGATGTGGTCCTTCCGACTAATTCGTTGCATCCATCGGGAGCATTTTCATATCGGTTCGGTGAAGTTGTTCCAGTTTGTTTGTCATTGGCCATGTTTCTGCACCATAAAAAAACACCGGACGTATCACAGATTTCTAAAGTCTTGATCGCAGTGGTAGTGGGATGTCACGCCGCATCAATATAGAGGCAAGGAGATGCCATTTATTCCAGGCTGCACGTATGCGTGCTCGAACGGCAGCTTCAGCTGTTCCAGTACAATCCAGAACATCCCCTAGATATTGAAACGATGTGACTTTTTCTACCTTAATGGCTTCAAAAACATTGCTATTTCGAATTTGTTGTCGTGGATTGATGCAAGCAGGACAAACAAAATTGGACACCTTAGATAAAGTACTAATTATTTTTGAACAACGTTTGTGACACCACTGATTACACTGCTGACACTTGATTGAATTATTACCTACACCAGCTTTACAAACTGAACAGGGCCATCGTCCAGTAGCTGTAGATTGGATGAGTTCACCAATTTTTATTTCTTTGGTTTTGCTGATGTTGACTTTGAATCCATGATTGGCCAGTCTGATATTCCAATCTTCAAACATCTGTGCTGCATTTTGCTCAGACGTGGCTGTTAAAACGATATCATCAGCATATATTAGAATCCAAATGTCACCAGTGCGTATCGGCTTTGTGAAACGCCGATATCAAATGCATCTGTGTTTCCAACCGTTGTGCTGACGAGATTCTTAGTATTCGTATACATTTCCATCACAAGTCGAACAAGATATTCTGGAATGAGAACAATAACAATAATTAGCGATGTGTCCTGCACATAACACCTCCCCAACAAACTAAAGTTTGTGGGCAAACTTATGGCGTATACGTTCAGATCTTCCAGGCAGAGATATCGGGTCAAAAAGTTGGTTTGACGATTGAATGCCTTGAGTCAAATTGGGACTGGGTCCCAGTGATTTCCCCTGGGTCGCCATCTTGGTTGGCACCGTATCTAGGACAGATTTGCTCTACGTGTCGTTTCCATAGAAGACCATGTGGAATCGATTTTACCAATACGTGTCTTCGACCTAATCTTTGAAAAACTGTTGCAGGAACCCATCTGGCTTGACGATCTCTTCTTGGGCCGTAGTACTTGACATAACACGGTTGACCTATAGAACTTTTCTCCTTATTATAGTTCTCTTCCCTCTCTTTTCCTATTGAAATTGGTTGGAGAATATCAATTTTAGTTCGTATTTGCCTGCCTCGCAGTAATTGACTTGGCGAAAGACCGGTTGTCAAAGGAGTTTTTCTGTATTGCATGAGGAACTCTCGTAAGGCAACTTCGGTCGGCAATGTTGATTTTGCCATTGACCTTTTGAAAGTTTGAAAGTTTGAACGAACCTCTCTGCTTGACCATTAGTCGCCGGGTGGGTGGTATGGGGCATCTGTAAGGTGCTGATTCCCTCTCTCTTTCAAATAGAGTTGAAATTCCTCACAATTAAAAGTTGTAGCATTATCAGTTACCATTGCGAGCGGGTATCCAAAATGGTTAAAACTATTTGTAAGATGGCCATGCTAGATAAGTTACCTGGTAACTTGATCATGGTCATCCTGTCTTCTTTTCTTATTTTTGAAGCAAATAAAATATATCGTATCGTATCGTATAGGGTATTTAGAAAAAGCATCCATGATCACGAGCCAATTTGTTTCCATAAAGTTTATGGCATGGTCGATGTGTAATCTACCCCAAGGTCTATCCGGAACAGGCAAGGCTCGTTGGGCGCTTTAGGAGCATTGTTCTGATGTTCTTGACATGATGAACATTCTCTGCACAATCTTTCGATGTCTCTGTCCATGTTTGGCCAATAAATCGCTGATCGTGCCAGTTGCTTCATTCGTTGCATGCCAAAGTGTCCCAGATGTAAAAGTTCGAAAGCTTTTTTTTTTGAAAGATTCTGGGATTACCACTATGTTTCCCATCAGTAAACAGCCTCCTGCCTGACTCGAGGAATTTTTTAATTTTATAAAATGTAGAATTTCCTTGCTTGAAATTTCTCTTGGCCAGCCCTTCTGAAGGAATTTACCGTCAGAAAAAATAACCGGATCCTTTTGCGATTCATTGTCAAACAACTTTGGATCTAAATGCAACATTTTCTGGCTGACTGAGCTAATTGTACACACCTTTGAAAGTTCTAGTTGCTCCTCTGCAGCATCAAATTTTGGATCTTCACCCGATGGTAAGCGACTCAACACATCTGCATTTTCGTGTTCTGAAGTCTTCCTGTATTTAATCGTGTAGTTGTATTGTTGTAAAATTAGAGCCCATCTGTCAGTCGGTTTAATGCCAGTTTAGGAGTAGCTTTCGTCGGGTCGAATAAAGCCAGAAGTGGTCTGTGATCCGCCACAATTGTGAACTTTCTTCCAAACAGGTATGAATGGAATTTTTGTAAGGCAAAAATAATTGCAAGTGCTTCCTTATGAATCTGGCTGTAATTTCCGATTGTGATGCACGACGTTAATCTTCTCTCAATGATTTTCTTGACAATTTTTAGGGAGTGTTTTAACAGACGTATACCCCGATATGTTGTACAGTTCAATGGATCACCTTTGCCTTTGTATAGCGGAACTGTCATGCTATAGTTCCATTCAGTCGGCATTGAGCAATTTCTCCAGACTTCATGGAAAAGTTGTAGTAACGTTGGGATAATTGCAGTACCAGATGATTATTTTCCCGGGTTCCGTAAAAGTTCTTTCAAACTTTTCTACTTCGATTTTTTTTAATTTACCTAACTATAAGGTAATTTTTAAAAGTAGAACCTATAAAGCATGAGATGGTGTAGGTATATTTGTTATGAATGATATAAACTTTAGGTCCGAGGTTAGTAGATCCGAAGTCGAATTCGATTTAAAGATGTGATCGAGGATACGGATTTTTAAACAGATGAATTAAATGCCTAAAGATATTTTCAGCAAAACGGAACGCGGGTTTATATAGATCACGTTCCTTTGAGTCGGCGGCACGAGTAATTAATTCGATTGCATTTTATTGCATTTTATTCCAAGATGAAAAATTTACTTGAGTTTAGAGTATATGGATCATTGTGCCATAGAAAGCAAATTCAAAATTTGAAGTTCTTCACATGCATTTTTCATGGTCTGGTTACATATGATAAGAATAATAATTCTAATTCTATTAGTTTAAATAATATAACTAGATTTAAAAGTACCAATATCCAACCTACCTCTACATTTTCACTGTTTAATATTAACATAAGATCAATTAATAAAAAATCGCTCTATATCCATCAAATAATCTCTTCCTCCTTACCTGATTTTTTACTCTTACTGAAACTTGGCACGAGGACTCTAACTCTCCCTCTCTTATTCTTGCTACTCCTGATGGTTACAGCTTCCTTGAACTCTCTAGACCTCCAAAAAATCTTCTATCATCTTTTCCTTCTTATGGGGGTATCTGTCGATTTTATAAATCTCTATTTACTGCTTCCATTAATACTTCCTTTAATTTTTCTTCTTTTGAATGTCTTGCTGTATCTCTTAAGTCTTCTTCTCTATCTTTTCATATTGCTGTAATCTATCGCCCTCTTCTTCTTCTCTCACTTTATTTTTAGATGAATTCTACTCACTCGCTGAATCTCTCTACTCTTTTTCTATTCCTTTCTACATCTCTGGTGATTTCAACTTGCACTTCAATAATTTATCATGTTCTTACACTCGTAGATTTAATGATATTTTGTCTCTCTTTAACTTAACTCAATATTGTTCTTTTCCTACCCATACTTCTGGTAACACTATTGATTTTATTATAGCTTCATCTTTTTCTAAGCCTATTAATATCTCTGCTAGCTCTGTTCCTTATTCTGATCACCTTCTTATTGAATCTGTTTTTTCATTAAATTTTCTTCCTTCAAATTCATCTATGTCTATTTCTAAAAGATGCTGGTCTTCTCTTAATAAAGATATTTATTACTGAAACTATTTTTGATACTACCTTATTTTCTGATGTTGATGATTTTGTCTATGCTTTTAATATCTACATTACTTCTATTCTTGATAAGCTTATCCCTCTTAAATCTTTTACTTATAGGCTCTATTCTCGTAAGGCTCCTTGATTTGATTATGCTTGTGTAGTAGCCAAGAAAAGTGTTAGAAGATTGGAGAAAGCCTATAGGTTAAATCCATCTAACTCTCTTTATTCTATCTATGAATCTGAATTGATTAATTATAAATATCTACTATTCTATAAACACTTTACTTTTCTTAGAAATTCAATAACATCTGCTTCAACATCTAAAAATAGGTGGTCTGTTCTATCTAAACGTCTACATAAAAAATCCTCTCACTCATCTTTTTCTGCTCAACAGTTTCATGACTTTTTTGTAAATAAAATTACTTCTTTAAGAACATCTAATTCTAATTTTTCTTCTCATAACTTTACTAAACTTACTACTGAATCTTTTTCTGTATTTACTCCAATAAATCTTTTAGAACTAACTAAAATTATTAATTCTATGTCGTCTACAACCTGTTCTCTAGATCTACTTCCTTTTAATTTACTTAAAGAATTTTCTTCAATATTTTATCCAATCATTCTCAAACTAGTTAATTTATCTCTTTCCACCTCTAAATTTCCTACTTCTTATAAGAATTCTATTGTTATTCCTATTCTTAAAAACTCATCCTTAGATCCTACCTCTTTATCTAATTATAGACCTGTAACTAATACTACTTTCATCTCTAAAATAATAGAAAAAGTAGCTTTTAATCAACTGTCATCCTATTTAGAATTTAACTCCTTGCTACCTGTATCTCAATCTGGTTTCAGACCTGCTCACAGTACTGAAACTTCTTTACTTGAAATATACAATGATATCCTTCTCTCTAGTGACAATAGTAATTTTACTCTTCTTCTTGCTCTTGACTTTTCCTCGGCTTTTGATACTGTTGACCATACTATTCTCTTGAGACTGCTGCATCTTTCTTTTAATATTACTGATTCTTGTCTATCTTAGTTTTCTTCTTATTTCTGTAATCGTTTTTCTTCTGTTGTTCTCAATAATTCTACTTCTAACTCCTCTACTCTTACTTTCGGGGTACCTCAGGGTTCTATCCTTTGCTCTCTTCTATTTATACTCTATACTTCTGAACTACCTCGTATTATTAATAACTTTTCTTTCTCTAGTCAATTATATACTGATGATTCTTACATTTATACTTCTTTTCCTCCATCTAATCTCAATAGTGTTCTTCATAATTTATCTCTATGTCTTTCTTCAATTATCGCTTGGTCTGACTCTATTGTCTTAAACTTAATCCTTTTAAGTTTTAATTAATTTGTTTTAATAAATCTAAACACTCTATTACTATTCCTCCTATTATCTTACCTGATTCTAAAACTCTTGATGTCTCTCATAAGTTTCGTAGTCTAGATTTTTATCT